AATTGAGAGCGGGATGCGTTGGAGTTGACCACGTCGCCGCTTACTGAAATTAAAGGAAGTCAATCGTATAAGCTTGGGCTGCCTTCACGTTTTGCGACGGGACCATAGGAGGATATGATATTCGATGATTTGATCGTTGATCTGTATCCCTTTCCCCGAAAAGGCTTAAGCACAGGGCGCAGACGACCAGAATCGCTTAGGGAGCGTTCCGTAGGGAAGATAGTCTTCAATGAGCCCACCCATAATTATGGGTAGCTACGTGGAGGCTGGCGAATGCCCTCCCCACTCCCCTCTCCTTAGCTGCGACAGTACCCTCTGCCTATTACAGAACACATGACAGGAAATACGTACAACCTGACATTAATGTACGATCTGCCGCTAGCATGAGTGCTCACGTCTCCCAAACTATATTTAGCGGGGAAGATTAGACCCAAACGAGGCCGGCCGACACGCGAAAGCAACCATAAGAAACGTCAATTTTGATTTGGACTTTTAAACGTCTCATGTATAAAAATATATTGTAAAAGTAAGGTAGAACAAAACATGTTCAATTCTCACCCGATATCCCATTCGAAGCGTTGATACCATTCGCTAAAGCACTTGCATTTGGCACGGATTTCGATCGCATTAACTTGTCTAAGTAAAAAAAACCAAGATTTAGAATAATTTCAACAGATGACTAACATATAACAAACCTTTTTCGGTGATGATACTCGCATAATTGGCAGGGAACCATCCTGTTTTACCGTTAATTGTCCCTTCCCACCACCCTCCTTCGATTTGCTGGGTGATGGTTATCATGTCGTTCTTCGAGAAGGACAGCTAAAAAACGGAAATTTGAGACGAACTGAGAAAACCATCCAGTGTTGGTAAAGCGCTACCCAAAAAACCAAAGCAAATGCAAACATTTCTTACTTCGTCATGTTTTATGCCCCAAAACTGAACTTTGCCTTGGCCACAATCACTGAAGGCTCGGCCATCTGACTATCCAACCTGGTTTCAGCCATTACCGCAGCCTAATATGAGATGATGTATACATGGAACTAGTCATAACCACGTAAGAAAAACAATGTCATTTGTCGGTGGCACAAAAAAAAAACGAAACGGCGGCGGGGGAGTGGAGCGTGCAACATGCTGCTTCGGCACAGTTGCAGACACAACAGCATAAAATTCGGCAGTTATGTCGTGTGGTCTTCTTTTCAACATATGTACTCGAGCATCAAAGCGATCACTGCCGCCCCTCTGATAGTTGTGATTACACCACTTGCGCGCTACTGCGCGCTACCGTATCCCACGCCTAAAAATAAATATTTTCCAGGGCTCTAATCAATCATTTCTTTCCTGTTCGTGATTTGTTTTCATTTTTCTCTTCCCTATTCGTGATTTTTTTTTCATTTTCTCGTTCCTATTCGTGATTTTCTCATTTTTCTTTGTTCTGCCTCATTGCGCTCTGTTTAGTTTGCTGTTGGGAGCAGCATTTTTCACTTTTTCATTGCAGCTCGTAGGTTGGGACGTTGAAGTGGAACAATTGTTCTCATTATGAGTTCGCACTCTCCAGGGAATTCCGCTCACATAGGTTCTGTCCTAGTTGGATGCACCGAAAAGTCACTCCCATCATTTGCAGGTGAGCCTTTCTTCTTAGCCCAATCATTTTCTTCTCCAAGTTGTGAATTTGTGAATTTCTTTGTTCAGGTGCTCGTATGTTTAGCGACAGAGTGGCACATGTTGGGAATGTGACATCCCACAGTGCTATTCTCGAAATGAACTCCACCGAACGGACCGTAACGAAGTGTCTGTTATCTCGCGACGCTGGTCTCCCTGCTTCCCCTAGTCACTTCTATTGCCCGGACTAGTTTATATAGTTCCGTTCAGGTGCACGACGTACTCTTGGCCATGTAGTGGCACACACAGAAAACTCAACATCCGCGCCCACCCCTGTAGAAGAAGCAAGAAGGTGACCCGTTTCGAAAGCTTGGCTCTTCCTTAATCTTTCCACTTGTAGGATTTTGATAAACTATGGATTTACTTGTTTTCTTTTATTATTGTTGTTGGCGATTGCAGATAAAGATTAACAACGTTAGTTGCGGAATATGAAATAAATATTGAGGTAAAATTAATATATTTAATACCCGGAATGAATAAATATTGACTTAATTCATTTTTCCTTTTCAGTTCTTTTGGTCATGTCGTCGACAGCGGGTTTTTTCCCATCTGCTGTCAAGTGCTGCTCCGCCCCAATGATGTGTTGAGGCAAAGTTAACGTTCAAGATTAATATTTGTTATGTGTTTTTATTTATCTTTTTTTAGATGTTGTTCATCAAATCGCTGTCCGTTGGTAAGCAAGTCGACGGTTACGAAGACGTTGAATTTAACCAATGTCATATGTTCGTGTTTTGTCTATGAAAACCGATTCTTGATTTATGTTGGCTCTCGCTCATGAGATTTTTCAGCCTGTAAAGTTTGATATTGTATTGTCGTGCTTAACTGCTAACTCCCAGTGGATAAATAGTTCACTTTTGTATTTAAAAGAGGACGCTCGATAATAACACAAAGGCAGAATATATTGGTAGTCAAGCGGTAGCAAAAAAGTTAAACAGCAGGAAAATAGCGCAAAAGTGAAGTGAAACATCTTCGTTCTACACGTCTCACAAAGCAATTTTGGACAAGTCTTGCTTTTGGAATCGTCGAGAATCGTTTTGGTAGATCTATGCAGCACTGGAGCTGGTTCATATCAATCCGTTCGCTTTATGTCGTACGTTGAAGTTGAACTGCTGTGAGCATTGTGGCGGGAGGCCGCGGTAGGAGGTACGTGTACCCTTGCTGTCGCCAAAGCGAAACTCCGGAGCAGCAACTCTTATCGCTATTCTAGGCGTGTTCATCCTTGCACATCTAGGGGATTTATGATGTCACTTGTCTTCAGACGAAGGAAGAATGATTACATGAAGTATATCATAGTATCATAGTATATCATATCATAGTATATCGATATGTATATCACCGTTACGATCGTCGCATCGTTCAGCGGGGCGCCCGTTATGCGCTTCGTTCGGTTACCTTGCCTTGAAAAAAAAAAAATTAAAAAAATATTTAATTTTTAGCGTAGGATACGGTAGCCCGCGCAGTAAGCGCGCAAGTGGTTAATCACAACTCATCTAGAGGGCCAGATGTCCGCTTGCATAGCCTCCAATGTATCTTGTCCAGAGTTTTAATATAAATCAGTTGATGTTACAATTCGGGAACCAGTAGCTCGAGTGTTTTCGTTGCTATATGCATTGGGGGAGAGAGCGCCGCGGCAGGTTGTTCTTCTGCCTCCCCTTTGCCCGGGTAGTTTCCCGCCTGTTTGGCTGGCTCCGGTGGGTTTTTTTTGAGGTAGCATTGTCATTTCAGGTGTAGGGCATGAATTTAACAAACGTCATAGTATGCTAATCCAATGAGGTGACGGCATTTCAAAGAGGAAGTGCTGACGAAGGAGTGTGGATAGGTGGGGCAGTTTCGCAACGTGGGGGGGGAGGGTGGATTCGCTAGCTTTTTGTTCTTGCCATCAGCACCACCTATCTAGAGAGCCTTTTCTTGAGTTGACAGGTTTTCCCCATGGTGGGTCGACGAGCTTGCTCTAGCTTCACAATAGTTCACAGGTTCCACTAGAGTGAGACTTAAAAATCGAAACTATGAAAGGCAGCGAAAGTGGCACAAATTCCCCGCCCGCGTCTAAGCCTCTCTCGGTGAACTCGCGCCGTCCGATGAGGTATTGCTGTACCGTACGAGGGAAGGGTGAACCCGCTCCGCTTTGTCAGATGATACCACCAACCCATGATGCTCCGCAGAACCTAGAAGTTACCCTTACCCCTCCCCAAAGTTACCCCTACCCCCCCCTCACGTTACTCTTATAGCCCCTTATCAAATTAAACAGCAAGACTAGCAACATAAAACTAAAAACTAAAACTAAATAAAAACTGCATAAAGTTTTCGACAAACTTTCCAGTAGATGGACGCGCTTCACCTTTCTAATCAAAACTCAATTTCTCGCTTGAAAAAAGCCGGGGGTCTTTTGAAGGCTGTGTTATCCCGGCGAGGAGTGAGCAGAATAGCAGACAAAGGTGCTGTACTACTACTTCTGCTTTTTGTGCGGATTGATTTTTATTTTGCACTCATTCCCCTCCCATTACTATAAATCGTAGCATTTTCGGTCGACCGCTCATTACTAAAAACATACACTCTTATCCCTGAAACGGAGTAGGCGTGGCATTTGAACAGGGCACAGAATGAGTTACTCGTAGGACATTTCAGCTTGAGACAAATTGTCATCTTGTTCTGTGCTGGACACCAGAGACATGACCGCAATTAAGTCAAATCAAATCCCTCCAAATTATGGTTGTTGTCAACCAGACGTGCTCTCGCTGCGAGGGTCCAGGGGTATTTTCACGAGGCATCTACCAGTCCAGTAGTTGGAGGGAGAAGGTAAAGGAGGAGGGATCAGAGAAGGAAGGAAGGAAAAGAAGGAAGGAGGAAGAAAAAATGAAAGAGAGGAGAGGCTTCCCGGTTGACAAGTGCCCTGAGGCCCCAAGCCACCGCCTTTTTTAGTTGAAGTACGCAGCCACGCCCACCACACCTTAAGGATTTGGTGTGTATGTCCCGAGAAGTTCGTTCACTCATTTGCCCTTCTTTTATTTACAGTTTATATGTCTTGCTATCTCAAACAACCGGTGTTTAAACGGTCTCCAATAAATTGCATACTCCGATTTCTCGTTTATTTATCGATCGATTGAGCGATTAGATTACAGTGACGACTCGTTCCGCAATATTGTCGGCATTCCTATTCGAGACTCACATTTTGATCAGTACCCACATGGATTACCTCCAATTACCAAGGCAAGTTTGATGACTGTTTTTGCTGCGAATCTGCTATTTAGTACCTCATGGGACTAGTCCAGTAGATAAGGGCATTTTGGTGCAAAACTGTTGTCTTACTGTTCCTTGAAAACAGCCCATTTTCCAGATGAGATTATTAGAAAATGCCGGCTTCGGAGCCCTTGTTCTACTTGGAATTGAAGAGGGCCGCCGCACATGTGTTAATGGATTGCCGGTTATACCATCAAGTATTCGAATGCTTGGACGATTCGAAAAGATGAAATGTATTGAACATCCAGCTTTGTGTGCTTATATCGAACTCGTTCGGTGTACCCTTAGGTATGTTCTACGGCAATACAGGCAGGGGAACGTTCCATATGGTGTTATAACTTGTTGGGCTAGTTTGAGCTATGATCCAGACCCTAT